CTTTTAAGATAAACTGACTGTTTCCTGTTATTCTATTTATTTTGACTAAGCTGCTACAGAACCTCCTGCTGCAGAACCTCCTGCTACTTCCTGTTATCTATTTATTTTGACTAAGCAGTGACTAGGGTGTTAACATCTGATAGTTGCACCTTCTGCTTTATTTTTAACTTCTGGAGCAGTTCTGTTTTCTTTTGGTTGTGTTTTAATCTAGTCATTTCATACATTTCATTCTAGTCATACCTAGTTGTATTATTTGTTACGTATGTCTGGATACTAATCTTGTGATATTTATTTAGTCATTCTAGTCAGACCTGGTCTTTGGAAGATACTATTGCCCGTACTAATACTTGTTGTGATATTGTTTATACACAATGTACAAATACAATTATTTGAAAACTTGAATAAAATATGGTCTTTCTAAGTATGTGTTCTTAATCTTGAATCCAAGCATTGAAACAATCTCTTCGTCAGATAAGACGGCAACCTTAGATGCCATAGAAATCAGGGTAGAGAAAAGGAAGGATAAGAGAGATACGTTACTTCATTGGCCACAGTTTTATTGCTCAATCATCACAGCTTGAAAAATTTAACATTTAACACAATCAAATAAATAATAGTGATGAAACTATGACACAGCTGATAACATTAAATTTAAAATGCCAACCAATCCTTCTTCATTAGGATGAACCAAGTCAACACGCATAGATGGCGAATAAAATTGGCAGAACAAATTGGTACATATGATATCACCCCGAATAAAAACAGAACGTGTCCTTAAAATCTTGGTGATGTTAGCCATGGAGTGGAGGAAATTATTAAAATCATTTATGGACTTATTGCGTGGGCTAGATAAAATTTCAGTTGCGTATGGTGGAATTTCACAGGTGATAAGTGAACATAAATGAGACAGCAACTTGATGAGTGATTTAATGATAAGCTTGGCATTAAAATTGGAATCTGAATTCTTAAAATCATTAGTACCTATCATTAAAATCACAGTTTGACCCTTTAAAACCTCCTTCCTTTCCTTTACACGAGCGTTCAGTTCACATATCTGTGGCAAATGTGTAGACTGTCGTAAGTCTACTTATGTCACAAAGTGACTTTTCAATTGACTCATATAGAGCAAGTCAAACTCTACAATTTTTGTTTTCTGAAAAATTTTCTGGGACCTATAGTAAGGGAGGTACAGGAGGGTGAAGACTGTCGTAAGTTCAAAATTCAGGCTTGTTACATGGGTAGACTGTCGTAAGTCCACTTGCGTCACTTGGCTTGAAAAACTTTGTGACATCAAATGTCGTAAGTCAACTTACGACACTATGACACATTACCAATAGAAAGTTACAAGTCATAAGTAAACTTACGACCCTTTGCACACAAAACTATCTATGAAAATATGGATTACGGCATTCTATAGAACAACAAACTGTCCTGGCCAAAAAAGGAAGTGATACAATGCCTTTCCTGTAGTAAAACTGCAAAGTGATTTTTACCTCTGCTCCTCTTTGTTGATAGCAGCATCTTT